CATTTCTTGCACATCTGGGACTTTCAATGGCAGATTCTATAATACTTTGCTATATTCTGTGATTTTATATTGATTTTTTTTTTTCTTGTGAGGGCTTGTGAAAAGGGCTCAGTCTTCTTGGCACTGAAACTCCAACTAAGACTGTCTCCAAAGTGTTAAGCTACCATGAAGCACATTTAGTTTGAAAGTAGTTTTTCAGAATTAACATTATAGAGAAAAAATTTCAAATCTAAATTTAACTAATAACACCATGTCAGGCTACAGACTTATTGATTTAATGTCATATGCCTCTGCCTATTAACAACTATTAGAAAAAGATATCAGTTGCTTTGAAAAATTATAACTAATCAACAAAAAACACTTTTGCAGATCTTAGAAAATAGAGAGAAAATGGCTTCTGTTAACATTCCAATTTAGTTTCATGGTTCCATAAACCAACCTCTACTCATCATTTTTTTTATATATTACTCTCATATTTGTTTTTTATTGTTGCTCAAGTAGCGAGACTGGAATTCAGAACAAAAGCAAAGAATTCAAGAAATAAGTCTTTAACCAGTAGACCAAAATTTAATGTTTGCAATTCTACTTGATAGAAAATTATTTCTGCAGCCTATGTACTATGTCATTTATGATAACACTCCCAAAATGTCTATAATACTTGAATTTAGCCTTGGAAAAAAAAAATTTTTTTTTTTTTTTTTTTAAATTTCTGATGCAAACTCATGAAGGTTACTCTTTTAGCATAATTGGAAATACACATTGGAATTTATATTTGATGATTGTATGAACCAATTTTAAAATAAAATTTATACAATTAACTTGAAAGTTTGTTTATGTAAATAGCTTGATATTTTTCATATTATTTAATTGTGTATTAAGAGAAAAAAAAAAACGAAAAGCAAAGCTAAAACCTCCAATTTTCACTGAAAAGTGATATAACTTCTGTCCCATAAAAGCTATTACATATGCATAAATATATATAAAGAAATATACATAATACTTTACATTAATTGCGCAACTCAAGTTAGGGTTAGGGTTTAATTAATTAATTATATAATATATATATATATATATATATATATATATATATATATATATATAACTGAGTTATACCAAACAGTGAGGAACAAAATGTATATTTATCATTAGTATACTTTCTTAGCTGTTATTTTACATTGAGCACCGTTTTATTCTTGCCATAACTCAGTATGCTATATATATATATATATATATATAATATATATATATATATATATATATATATATATATATATATATATATATATATATATATATATATATATATATATATATATATATATATATATATATATATATATATATATATATACACATATATATGTATTAAACATATATGGATAAATTGTCATCTAAACTATGCAAAAATGTAAACACTGATATCTCATTTTAACAGATATACTTACCAAAATTACACAAAAATATCTTGAAATACTAAAGAGTAAATTTATTCAATAAAATTGCCATTGCCTTCAACCACAGCCTCCAGACAACTTCGGAATCTCATATAACTCTTCTGGACAGTCCTTGTTTAAGTTGGTCAATGTTGCCATAATCTTTGCCTTCAGTTCATCTTTGGTGTGACAAGAAGTTTTGTTGGTCTCTTGCTCAACTGTGTATTTTTGTGTAATGTTGGTAAATATATCTGTTAAAATGAGATATCAGTATTAATATCATTTTTGTGTAGTTTAGATGACAATTTATCCATTGTACCTTGTATATCATTTCCTACACTAAATATAACCACTGTTAAAAAATTAACCAGCCCAATAATTTTTCAGCCCCTCATTGTAAATTCTCAAAATAACTGTTTTTACCAGGTCTCATATTAGAATATAGCATTGATATTAACATATTAAGAGAAGAGATATTGACAAATTAAAACAGTAAGTTCTTTTAGATAATATTTCTTGTGTTTTTGGCCATAAAATTTGCTTAACTCTACATTAGCTTATCAAATGAAAATTCAAAAGACATGTTTATACATTATTTATAACTCTTATTGTTATAATTTTTTTACTTTTGTAATTTCTCTTATCTTGAAAAGAATTAAAAGCCTCAGATTTTAAATAAGGCATCTCTCCAGTAGAAAGACAAGTAAAAAGAAAAAGGAATTAGTCCAACATGATAAAAGACAAAAGCATTATTGTCATATGTTTTATGACTAACAGCTGATATCCTTATTTGGTGACTTTACACTTGTACCAAGTTTTATCCATTTTTAAGAATAATGTTTTTGTTTTTCTTATCAGCTTTTGTTATTTTGAGATAACTTCATTTAGGACCTCTTGTTTTAATTTGCCATTTGAAAAAAAAAATGGCAAAAGAAAGGCAGGCCTATTAGTAATACATCTTAAAAAGCAAAGTCAATCTGGATGCTATAACTCTGAAATGATAACTGGTTGAGATATCAGCAGCTAGTCGAGCCATGAGACAATATTTACCTTAAAAGCCAAAAAATTCCAGAGAACATACTTTTACAATAAAACAAATCTCAACTACATTTTTTTTTAATTTACCATATATACTCACATATCATTCAACTTTTGAAGACCTAATTTTGAAGCCAGTTCTAAGGGGGGGTCACATCATACAAGAGATATAAAATTAACATATTCTGCTGGCCTTGGCTACATTGTTGACCAAACCATATATCCATTTACTGTAGTCAAATTAACTTCAAAATTAGGTCTTCAAAAATTGCATAATACATGAGTATATATGGTAAATTACTTTAAGTATTATTTACATACAAACTATTATCCTCATTCTTGTTGTTATCACAATGTTTAGGCTGAATTCAGACAGAAATTACATTATCTAAAGCTTTCAGGATAATCAGTAACATTTAAAATCTTATTTAAACAAAAAATTTTGTGTTTTTAATGTTGTAATGGAGATTGATCAGTTTTTCTTTCCATTAATAAATAAAGTTTTTTTTAATTTTTTCACCTTACAATTAAACACTTGAGAAGCTGGGCAGCACAAAAGTAAAAGTTGAGGAGTCAGGGACTAAATCAGATGTTAAAAACAGGGGAGGTGAAATCAGATATTAAGTTTTAAAAATTTCTTTTATATTTTATTTTTATCTGATCCTCTCAGAAAATTAATATTTCTTTAAAAAAAAAAAAAAAAAAAATTTTTATCCTACTGTAAACATTTTATTTTAAAATAGGAGTAGATAGGTCTGTCTATCATCCGGTTCACACTCCTCTCCATTCTTTGGAACAGGAATAGAGGTTTATCCCTTGTTTCCTGTTTAAAATTGGGTTTCCAGTTCCTTCTAAATTTTACCTCAACTCTATACTTCTAATGTTACCACCTGAACTCTGAAATTTTATTCACTAATTAAATTTTAACCTCTTCAAGTCTAAAATTAGTTGTTATATTTCCTGCATAACACCAAGAACTTCACTTCTTTCCCTTTCTTACATTAATACAACACCACACCATAATCCTGTACCTTGAGTGGCTCTTGGGCCTTGTATTGGGTGAACATTAGAAAAAAAAAAAAAAACAATTAAATTTTTAAAAAATGCACAATTTTTTCTTTTCACTTGTACTTATTTTTTGAAATGCAACCTATTGTCTTATCTCATACAGAAATTTTAGAAGCTAATGTTAAAAAAAAAAAATAGAATATGAAGTTTTTTGATTTATTTTGAAAATCAATGGCAGTAATGATTTTAGACAACAATGTCTAGTGTGGTGAGGCTTTGGCCTTATACTCTACAGGATTTCCATATATACATATATAAGTTCGTCCTGAAATGCTACTGAAAGTACGAAAACGCAGGTGAAGTTCAAAGGCAGTATTGAAGAGAATTTCATTCAGATCCACCCACACAGTTTACAATCTCACAAATAAGTATAAAGTTGACAGTACTGAACAAAATGTGCACAAGAAATGACCATGAATATCAACCACACCCTGTGAAGCAAGAAAGGGTGATAGAAAATTTCACAGACGTCAAAAAAACCTATCAAAATGTTGATTGCTGCTTGTGATTCCATTTCATTTTCAGCAATGTCTGCATCATAACACATCAATTTGAAAACATGCAATGAAAAAGATCTTAAAAGCATTTATAATAAATACTGTTATCATTATGCATTATTTAAATTTGATATAGTTGGTTCTGGGCATAGGAGGCTCTGGATAGAGGTAATAGATTTGATATCTAGTACACTGCACCTTTGAGTGCATGGGCATCACTGGTCCTCAACCACCTCCTAAATCTCTCATATGATGGCTCCAAGTTGCCATGCCTTGGTAAACCGTTTCAACTGGTGAGCTAAACTTACATGAGGGCCAAGAAGTACTTTCCTTTTTGGATAGGCTTATGGTTAATCTCTGGCAACCTGAAAAGTGTACCCAAAAGTGGGAAGTGCCAAAGGGATGGACTATTTCTGGCCTCTGGTCACCTGTAGGTATAGGATTCTCACTTTAAACTTGGTCTTGTGCCACATTATAAATATATATAGATAAATACTTTGAAAATAACTCCAAGTAGAGTGAGCATTAAAAGATTCTGTCAAGAATTTCAGTAATTTAGTTTTGTGCATGTGAGAGAAAGTGATGGGATGAGAGAAAGTAAGAGGAAAGAAGAGGAGAGGAAAAGTGAAAGAGATGAGGAAAGAGGGAGTGTGAGAAAGGAAAGTGAGACAAAGAAAGAGAAAAAATAAGAGGGTATGAGAAAGAGGAGAGGAAAAAAGAGAGAGGGAGTAAAGAAAGAGGTAAGAAAAGAGAAAGAAAGAGAAGGAAAAAGAGTGTGCATGAGAGATGAAACTGAAACAAAGACAGAAAAAACAAGGGGAGAAGGAAAATAAAGGAGAAAAGAGAGAATATAAAGAGAGAGAATTTATTTCATAAGATTTTTGAGAAAAGAAAATAAAAAGAGAGAGAAGGTTTAAAGAGAGAGAGAGAAGGTGAAAGAGAGAGAGAGAAGGTTTATTTTTCTTCAGAGAAGGTGAAAAAGAGAGAGAGAAGGTTTTTTTGTTGAGAGAGAAATTAGAGAGTTGAGAGAGAGAGAAGAGAGAGAGAGAGAGAGAAGAGAGAAGAGAGAGAAGAAGAGAGAAGGAGAGAGAGAGAAGAGAGAGAGAGAGAGAAGGATTTTTGAAGAGAGAGAGAGAGAGAGAAAGAGAATGAAAGAGAGAATTTTACCTCATTTTAGAGAATGAAATTTGAAGAGAGAGAGAGAGAGAAGGGTGAGAAGAGAGAGAGAGAGAGAAGAGAAAAGAAAGAGAGAAGAGAAGAAGAGAGAGAGATGTTTAGAAGAGAGAGAAGAGGTGAGAAGAAGAGGAAAAGATAGAAAGAGAAATAGAGAAGGAGATTTTTTTCTTTTTTTAAAGACAAAGAGAGAGAGAGAGAGAAGAGAAGAGAGAGAATGAGAATGAAGAAGAGAGAGAGAGAGAAGGTGAGAAGAGAGAAGAGAAAATGAGAAAGAAAAGAGAGAGAAGGAGAGAAGAGAGAGAGAGAGAGAAAATGATCTCAGAGAGAGAGAGAGAGAGGTTTTTTAAGAGAGAGAGAAGGTGAGAAGAAGAGAGAGAGAAGGTGAGAAGAAGAGAGAGAGAAGGTGAGAAGAAGAGAGAGAGAAGGTGAGAAGAAGAGAGAGAAAAAAACAAGCAAGAGAGTAGGAGAAGCAAGAGGGAGGAAAAAGAGAATGTGAGAAGGGAGGAAAAGAAAAAGAGAGGAGCAAAAGAAAAAGAGAGGTGGAAAAGTGAGAGAGGAGGGAAAGAGAGATTGTGAGGAGAAAATGAGACAAAAACAACTAAGAGAGTAGGAGAAAGCAAGAAAAGAGGAAAAAGCAAAAGAAATAGGGGAGGAAGAAAAAAACCCAAGAGGGGAGGAAGAAAAAAACCCAAGAGGGGAGGAAGAAAAAAACCCAAGAGGGGAGCAAAAAAAGAAAAAGAAAGATGTGGAAAAGAGCAAGAAGTCAAAAAAAGAGAGAAAGTAAAAGAGGAAAGTAAGACAAAGAAAGAGAAAAAAAACACCGAGTAAAAAGAAAGGCAGGAAAAATCAAGTGTAATAATAGCAAAAAATCTATTTTGAAACTTAAAAAGGTAATATTTTTAATAAATAATATATGAACAATATTTGAACATGTCTACCTTTTTGAGTTGAAAGATGCAAACCAGACCAATGATTGGCTACCTATTAATTCATTGTGATTTTTGTCCTCTCACAAGGCTTATATTCACCATTAAATAACCCAGCAAGGGTTGAAATGTCATTAAACAACCTAACCATTGTTCTATCAACCTACACATGCCAGCAATAAATAATAATAATAGTGTTGAAGGTGTTAAGAGCAGAATAATTTGTTAGATCTTTCAACAACATTTACTTTACTAGAACTGAACTCATATGCAGTCAAACATATCCAGGCTTTGAAGAGTATTACTTAATACTTATTCATTTTTCAATGGTTCTATTCAATGAAAAATTCAAAATTATATCAAAGCAAGCAATACAAATACAGAAAGAAATTTATATTTCATGTAAAAGCATTTGATAAGATGCAACACAATTGAACTGTTAGGAAAGCTTTATTTACTCAGGAAAGATATTAGAATAATCCAGAACATTTAGTGGAAACAAAACGCCTGTATATATAGAAAATAAACATAGAAATGGGTTATAAGACAAAGATTATCTTCTTACCAGACTTTTTTCTTTTTTTTTTTATCAATCTTTTTTTTTTTAATCAATTCACTCCAAGCAAGGTGATAATGCCACTAAGATGCAAGGGGGCTACTAGGAGTGAAAGAGAACAAGAAGTCTTTAAAAGGAACCAGAAACAAGGAATAAACCTACTCCTGCTCAAAAGACCAAAGAGTGTGAACCAGACAATAGGCAAACTTTAACAATTACAAGGAGATAATCCTAAAAGAAGTACCAGAAAATATTATTAGTGGACATAATTTTAACAACATATGATATGCAGATGTTGATAGCAGACACAGAAAGACTGCAGGAACTCTTAAACAATCTAGTAAAGAAGAGTAAGAAGAAAGGACTAACTATCAACTGTAACAAGGCTAGTCCTGAGTATGACTATAAACTATATCCAGCAGCAAGGCTTCTAATCAAGTGATTGGAGGTTTTGAGGAGTATGGAACTGCCTCTTAATTGCTGTTGTTCCCAGGTCCACTCTGACCCAGGGTGGTATCACCTATCAGGGTTCCAGCTATGAGCAAATAGTGAACACCAAAACAAAAACCAAACACTATGAAAGTATAAAAATATATATTTAGAGTAAAAATACCAGCAATACATTTTTATATAAAAAATATTATCAACAATACATATTTATAGTAAAATAACCAACAATAGTTATAAAGAAAAATGACCAGCAATATATTTTATCGTAGAATTACTAAAAATACATTTTATTTGTAGTTGATGGCATACAGTTGTGTTCAGAATATATTTAGCTGAAGTCATAAAATTGTGTTCAAAATATTTAGATTTCAGCATTAAATAATCCATAGAAGGCTGATAAGCTGCTAAACAAAATCAAACAACATAAAAAAACTCTTTCATGACATTAATCCATATAATATCCTACAATTTTATAGAAATCAAAACTGTATTGCAAAATATTACTTCAACAAAACTACAATATAAAACACATATCGCCACCTCCAGTAATCATGGCTACACAAACATTTATATGCACAAAAGCTGAGTATCATCTACCGTGTATGTAATTGTGAAAGCAGAGTAACATTTCTATTACTTCAAAGCTCACAAGAAAATTAAATTTCAGCATTAAATGACCCATAAGGAGTTGATATGCCATTAAACAAACAAATCGATCAAATTAAAATGATAAAAGGCAGAATGTATGGTCATTAGCAAAAGGGGTAGCCTAAGATGTGATCTACAAACTGGAGATGTCAAAATCAAGCAAATACAGAAATTTAACTATTATCTGGGAAATATTATAACAGATGATGGAAAATGTTACACAGAAATCTGAAAGTATATTGGAATAGGGAAATATGACTTCCTAAAGATAAACAAAATATTAAGAAACAGGAAAATTTACTTAGAAACAAAAAAAGTTATGGCATTGGGCAAAACTACCTTTTGCACAGCTTATTCTATATTCAAATTCCTTATCTTCTATACTAAATTTGTTATAACCGATCCATACACTAAGGTGTTTTAAGTGTTTCGTATTTATTACTTCCACTTACTGAATTTTTATGACAGATTCAGAATAAGTGATATATCATTGCTTTCATTCCAATTCCAGGTCATAGTTTTTGTTTTGAAAAAGTTTGAGTTCTATTTCTTGGAACACTTGGTATAAGATGTTGATTTTGTTATTAATGGTAGAAGTTAAAACAAAATGACAATATAATAATTGAATTTTACCATAAAAATTTGTCATTATCAATTTTTTACTTCTTTCTTTCAGAAGGCTTAGTTTGCAAATACGGAGGATCAAAAATAATGAAAATCCTCTGAGAGGATTTGAACTCTTATCTCATATTCTAAGGAATATGTTTTTATGTGACACTGCTGCTTATTTAACACCTATAGAACAACAATCTGAAATTGTGATAGATGGCAACAGAACTAGAATGAAGGAAATACTATACAAAAATTGATAACATTTCACGCAAGAAATTCATCAACTATAACTATAAACATTTTTCTTAGCATGATTCAGCACTAAATCTTTATGCATTGAAAACAGGTCAAAATCAAAGTGTTGTTCCCTATATTTCTGCCTAGGATCAGAGTATAGTATCAGTTTGATTTTTTTCAAATTTGTTTCCGTACTACAACAGTGCAGGATGCTGAGGTACGCTCTTGTCTATAACAGTCTGTGGCTTAGCAATAAGAAATGCTGGGATTTCAAGCATACTGTAGAACCTCCTTTCTTGCACTAAAGGGAGGTCAGAGTACTTTTATGCCTGTCATTGAGGAGACTGCGCAATTTTTGTCCTTATATATGTATGTATATATATATATATATATAAATAAATCAATTCAACCCAAGTTAGGGGATAATGCCACTAACATGCAAGGGACTACAGAGAATGGAAGAAGATGAGAAAAACTTACAAGGAACAGGAAACCCAATCCTAAACAGGAAACAAAGGATAACCATAAGTCATATCCTACTATGGTGATGGCTACATAAATACAGGATTAGAGTGTAGTATCTGTGCACTATTATACATATACACAAACACACAGAAATTTGCTGAAAAGTTCTCAGCTTGACCAAAGCAGGATTTACAAAAATATTCTGTAGTTTTGTGAAGTGGGTCAGACTGAGAACTTTTCACAACCCCTTGTGCGTTTCGGTTATGTAATCATTTAAAGATTGTTATATTTATTGAGGAGACTGCTCATATATATATATATATATATATATATATATATATATATATATATATATATATAAAACTTCTAACAAAATGTATACACACTTCAGGAAAAAAAAAACTTGTATAGATAATTTAATACTAAATTTATTCAGATATCTTGCAGCTAATACAAGTTACCTTTTGACTATAATCATGAGATGCTCAAAATGGTGGCCTTTAGTTTCCAGATATTTATTAGTATGTCAAACTATTGCTTGACCAATGTTGGCCAAAGTGACCAGTTGGATTGCTGCACATGCATTTTCAATTTCTTGTCTAAAGGCCACTAATGTAGTCATTTTTCTGTAATATACAACATCCTTTATGGTCCCTATAGTAAACAGTGTTATTGCATTATCACAATTTTTTAAAATTATTTCTTGAAGAGTGTATACAGTTTATTGGTGTACTATATATATATATATATATATATTATTAGTGTGGGGGGGGAAACAATGGTGGAGTAATGAATAGTGGCTCAGATTGAGGAATTGGAGAATAGAGTTTGAATTCCAGTCAAGTTCATTACATTCACTTACAAGCAATACCCTTGGGAAAGGTATGAATCCATCTCTTCTCCCCCAGCTATGAGTTAAATAGCAGGACAGACTGGATCCTACAGCCTTGAGTGGTAAAAATTCTAGGAGAAGGACAGCTTTGAATTCAAAACCTGCAAAGGGTCATTTGGGGACCTTTTGGCATACTGTGGAACATATCTTTGTATTCACCCCTCCCAAAAAGTGTGGTTGGTTCTACACAAGCCTTCATGAGTATAATCAAATAATATATGCAGGCAGTCTGGCTGTTGGTTCTAAAACGGAGCTGCTTGACCCACATGTTGAGAATGACAGGAGTGCCCAATATATATATATATATATATATATATATATATATATATATATATATATTTATATATGCATCATTTATGTTGATACTTTTTTGTTATTTATATTTTTGATTATTCAAACATTTTTCTAACTGTTATTTTTGATAAATTATATTTCAACAATTTCAATTTATTTAGAAAGTTCTTTATTATTTCTGTATTTTGTTTTGTATTATTATTTATCTATATATTTATATTATTTATTTATTATACACCCCCACCACCACACTTAAAAGCATAATTCTATAATAACAGCAACATTTGCCCTTGTGCTAATGCTGGGTTTCATTCACTGTCTCCATGGGCTTAAAATAACTCATCTCCACAAGCTATCTCTCCACTACCACAAGAACACAAGAATAGACCATTCTCAACTCTTCTCACTGGACATTTGAATATGTATATACACCCCCAGCCTCTCCAAAAGAATTATTTATCACCACTTCAAGTTAGAAACAAACTCAAAACCATTTCCTCTTACAAAAGCAACCATAGCTGCAATTATATTGGCATGTAAAGTCTGGAGTTCTTGATGGCACTTCTAATAATTTGTATTCATACTATATCTGTTGGCTACCATGCACAACTTGTTCAAGGCACCAGCCTTTCCCATCGGCTAAACAAGTAATTTTAGCACACAAAAACATGTATACACAAGCTGTTTCTTTATTAAGTGTTAATAGGTATTTGATGTTATATTCCTGGTGGAGGACATAACAGATATAAACAGTGGGAGAGGGCAGTTACCAAAACCCAAGACATCATAAATGCCATAGAATTTTTGAAGAACTTTCACTATACCAACAGCACTGTCTGGAAATATGGTGTTTTCGTACACCTGTACTAAAATATATTTGGTCTATTTTAAGGAAACACTGCCCATATTTTTAATTGGTTGTCTTCTTATGTCCATTATGTCTATGTTATATAAGGATGAATCATTCAGTGAGTGAATTTGGGATAGACCATAATTATCATATAATATTTGAGCTTATCCCCACCCTTCATTAGTTCACACAACCATTACACCATGCCATACCTCATAATTGATGGGCTATTCTGTTTTGATTGCATGGAAAGAGGAGAAAAGA